TTCTGTGTGGGCTTTGTTGCCTCTGGCGAGGTGGCAGTGGTGAGGCTGTAGTGGAGGGTGACGAGTTTCATATCCCTGCAGGTAGGGAGGCCGAGGATCGTTGGCCCAGTAGTGTTCACCACGTGAAAAGGGTACGGCTTGGAGTGGCCGTTGTGTGATAAGTTAAGTTCGCAAGTTCCATAGTGCTGTATAGTGTGGCCACCGAAGGCAGTAATTGTTGTGTTAGAAGGACACAAACCGAGAGGTGCACCATCTGGGCTGTATGCTGACTGCGGATACAGCTGTTTGTACGTGTCGACAGGGATGACATTGCCTTCGGCTCCTGTATCGATTTTACACAGTAGGGGCATGGTGCGCTGACCTGCGTTCACTTCTAGCTGTAATAAGGCCTGAGTGTCCCTTTCGACAACACTGTCGATATGCAGGGAGTGAAAATACAGTTGCGGGGTATCTAGCGTGTGTGGAACAGCGATATTCTGTACTGTTGGATAGTCGGTGTTGGGCTCAGTGGTGTCTATGGCATGTACACCTTGTTGTGGCCTGTGCTGTTTACCCCTGGATGTCTCATAACTGGTTTTGGCCCTTGGGCGGGAACGACAAACAGATCTCCAATGGCCAAGCTTGCCGCAGGCATCACATTTTGTTCCATATGCTGGGCACGATCTACGGGGTGGATCGTGGAAGGTGCCACAATTTCCACACTTTTCGCCTTGGGTACCCTGTGCTGGTGGTGTGCTCATGTTGGGTGCCCTGTATCGTGTGTTTCGGCCATGTTGTTGTCTCAGAGCATCGACTGTGGTGATTTGGCCACCTCTGATGTCCTGTAATTGAGTACTCGTGGCTTCCTGGGTTCTGGCGATGCCCACTGCTTTGTTAAGTGTCAGAGTGGCATCGTACTCGAGGAGTTTTGATTGAACGCGCGGGTTGTTCGATCCGAGGATGAGAGCGTCGATGATGTGTTCGTCCGGGTTCGTGTACTTGCACTCGTTTACTAAAATTCGTACTTTCTTGAGGAATGAATCGACTGATTCACCAGTTTCCTGCTTCAGGGTGCGGAGTTTGTAGCGTGCAAGCCTAAAGTTGCTTCTCGGCGCCACGAAATCCTCAAACTTTTCCCAGTATGTGCTGAGCTGTTTCTTTTCATCGGCTGTTAGCGACCACGTGGAAACTAGCTCGATTCCTTCTTCGCCTGACCATATTAAGAGGTAGCTGACTTGCTCTTCCTCGCTTTTTCCTTTTAGCGGACCAGTGAAATAAAGCTGACAGAGGCTTTTGAATTTCTTAAAGGCTTGTGGCGCGTCGGTTGAGGACCAATCCATTCGTGGAATGGGTAGTCCGGCGAGCTCTGCTATATTAATGCTTGCTTGCCACGTAGTGTTTTGTATCGAACGGGTGTAGCGACCAACGGGGACAAATGCTGGATAGACCGTGGACGGAGACAACGAACTAACTGGTTTCGGGGTTGTTATCCCACTTCTGACACCATGTTGTAGTTCGCATCAGCAACGTTGCAAGATTTTTTATTTATGAATCAAGCATGCCGAAGGACATGACATGTGCGCGCATGCGCAAGTACATTGAGTTGCGTGACAAACTATGACAGTCTTACCAAATTTAAGACACGTAGGAGTCTTTCAAATGAGTACGATGGTTAACTTGGGGATTGGATTTCAAGAGCCTTTGACTCGTCCAGGCGTTAAATTTGACGAGAAAATGAGGAATTACTCTTCTGACTCCGAAAGATCACGGGGGATATACAAATTCCAGCTTGCTGGAAAGTGATCTGAAAGTAAGAAAATGTCATGCCATGCTATTCTTAAGAACCTGTATGGGCCGAAAATGGATGTGATTTTGACCATTAGCTTCTAAATAACAGGAGAAATCGAGATACGAAAACATATGCTTTGCCTCCTACTTCGCTGACGAGGTGTATCGGCTTTGTAAAGCACATGTTATTTTATTCATTCGTTGCCATGAAATGCGTTGACTTTGTTTTTTACTGTCAATAGCTCGGTTAATGCAGCTCGATCATACTGAACGAATTTGCTGGCGGAAGTTCCATGGATAACGCATTAAGTTAAAGAGTTTTCACCTAAGTAACGTTATCAGTCTTCGTGGTGTGGTGGTAAAGTAAAGTTGCATAGAGTTGAAGGTTCCGGGTTCAAGTCCCGCTTTGTATAATTCTTTTTTTATCTTCTTTCTTTCTTTTTTTCCCGTTTTTGGCTTGTTTTGTTTGCTTATTTGTTTCGTTGTTTTTTCTATAAATATCTACCTAAATAACTGTTATTTAATAAAGTGCAATAAACAAAAAGAAAAGAATTGTGTTTCCAGAGCAAAGATATTGTACATGGATAAACAATCTGAATTTCTATCATTTCCTACAATTTACTGTGGGAAAACCAGAGTTGATAACCATTTGATCATTTTCTAAACAACGTTCCCACGAGTTGACGATAGGCTTTCTTTGATTTTTTTAGATTTCGGCCGTATGCATAGACGTATGTGCGTACATGCACGCTTCATTCCTGGTAGGAGAAATAGCTGATAGGTTCCTGGGCGCCGAGCTTTATACGGTAACATTTTGTTGCTGACAAAGAACGGCCGAAGTGTATTTTTTTTGTCTACTTTTAAAGGAAACCTGGATTTCCTTCAATCATAATATAGTTTGACAACTTTTACATAGAAGGCCACCCCTGTGTCTTAATATTTCGACCCCCCTCACATTCTGTGCATTTTCAAAACTGACCCCCAAAATCAAGCCTCTTAGAAAATTGTACCCCCCTCAGCCCCCCCCCTCCCCCCTGCCGAGACGTAATAAACGATGGGTCCCTTGAACGTATTTCATACATACCTTACAGGGTGCAAAGAAAGTCAATTTTACAGCTTGCCCTTCGGACAAGGTGTAACTAACATCTACTAGCCCGAAAGTCACTTTTACTAGCCCAAAAAAAGTTCTTCGCGAGCAGAATGAAAAAATATTAATTAATTATTCCTTTCTTAATTACACTGTAAATTATTAAATTACTGGCTTTATTTATTCATTACAATGAGCTGTAGTTATTTAACAAAGGCAATAAATAACCGTAAGAGTGTAAACTGTAAGTAGACCTGGTAAGACACTATTGACACACTACTACAGTAATTCAGTGTTCACCTTTTGGTTATAAATGCCTTTGTCTTGAAAGCCAACTCACAATGATGAAATGAGGAATTTAAGTGAAGCTAACGGAATGAAGGTCCAAATAACAGATAAACGTTTTTCTTTGAACACAGTGCTAAAAACCACATATCAAACAATTATTGGATGAGGTTGAGCATGATATCATGAATTATCAAAACCGAGGTCTGTGTTCTGAGGCAGATAATACAGACACGAGGTTTTGATAATTCATGATATCATGCGAAAACCGAATTCAATAATTGTTTTATTTATACGTTTTTCAAACAATAGGCAAAGAAGACATTCAGCCATTCTGTTTCTGAGGAGAACACTCCAAGGGGCTTGGTAACCAGGCAGACGTTGAACTTGACATGACAAATGCAATATCTGCAGCAGATATTGCATTTATCAGGTCAAGTTCACAAGCTGTAGTGAATTGATTGAATGCTCTCGACCAATCAGATTTTTCATAGTGAGTCTGATGTATAATAATACTGGTTAACCTCTGGTGAAGATGCTTACTGTAACGCTTTGGGTTCAACGCAATTATTCACTCCCGATATCTTCAACTAGTTTTGCTGTTTTGCTCTCGGCGCTGCCACGACGTAGATTTTTTGCTAAGTCCACCGCAACACGTGAATGATTAACATGCATTTTAGACATTTTACAATTTGGAAACATATTTTTAAAGAAAAAAAAAACGGCGTTGAAATCATAATAAATTTCTCACTGGAGTTCAGGATCAAAACCTTTTGTTTACGTTTCTCACTTGGTGTAAATGATTGTGAAGCAAAATTTAGACAAATAGTAGCTTTCTCTGAATCAGTAAGAATTAGTCACGGGCAACATTTACCTCAAAAGTTTTTTTAATATCTGCTTTTACTTTATTCGCGGGATCTCACGAGCCGCACCGTCTTAGCAACCAAAAAAAATTTGTTTATCTAGCTGAGATAGGGGACTAAAAGCTGGATACTCAGAAGCTTGTAACATTCACTGTTCCATTTATCTCTGATCATATTTCGCATCTAATACGATAGGGGCGTCAATTTTCCCGCCACATGTCATAATTCTAGGGCGAGAAATTTAATTAAAGCGCGGCATTCAACAAATGTACGGCTCAGGTTTCGGCTAAAATTATTCAGTGCCGTCAAAGAAAAAAACATATTATTAAGGACTGCGTATAAAGTCGATCACATTGCTAACACAGACAAAAACGCATAAAAATCTGCTACAAAATGAACGGCTGAGCTTGTTTTTTCTTCGGGTCAAACTGCTACTATATATCCTAGAAGCGCTCAGGCATAATAATATGCCAGGACTTCTACCTGGATGAACCAGAAAGGATATAGAACAACTGCCTAATTTTTGCTTTTTTACGGCTACGGGTCGAAATGCTAAACGTGTTATATATCCTAGAAGCGCTCAGGCATAATAATATGCCAGGACGTCTACCTGGATGAACCAGAAAGGATATAGAACAACTACCTAAATTTTTTTTTACGGCTACGGGTCGAAATGCTAAACGTGTTATATATCCTAGAAGCGCTCAGGCATAATAATATGCAGGGGCACCCAAAGGATCTGTTCCTCACAATATCTGTTCTACAGAGAAAATTTTGCTGGCTGGGAACTTAGGTTTCGGCTGTTCTCCTGGGAAGTAAAGTCTTAAATCTACGGTCAAGAATTTATCAAATGTATCAAAAATTCTTGCTGGAGGTATTTTATCCCTCTAATTTGCTAGAAATTTTCTTTCTGCGCGAATAGGGTCCTTTCGATATTTTTGACCGCGCACTCCTGAGAACTAGGTAGTCGCATGTAAGCGAGGCTTAGAGGACACAAGATGGCTGACTCTGCTGCAGGCAGTTTTCACTGTAAACCGGTTCCTTGGTTAAAAGAATACTTAAAACAAAGGGGCATTCAAAGCTCAGGAAAACGTAAGGTTGAACTGGTAGAACTTTGTGAGAAAAGTGAGGAGATGAAAGTCCCAAAAATTGCTGAAGAGGAAGCACCAGTCGATCCAAGAGTTTCTATGAAAGAGCAACTGAAAACCGATGAGGGAGATCTCGCAAATCCGTTGGATAACGAAAACCGTGTTTTTTCCCAATGGACCAAAAACTTTACTAACGTACCGGACTTTAGATTCCCCGATCTTTTTAATTACCTGGTGGGTAAAGATCCCGTATACAACAGCGAAAGCCTAAAAAGTTACAAATCTTTATTGGGGTACAAATTATTTTTTGATGGACATGTGGAATTAGTCACGGGCAACATTTACCTCAAAAGTTTTTTTAATATCTGCTTTTACTTTATTCGCGGGATCTCACGAGCCGCACCGTCTTAGCAACCCAAAAAAAATTGTTTATCTAGCTGAGATAGGGGACTAAAAGCTGGATACTCAGAAGCTTGTAACATTCACTGTTCCATTTATCTCTGATCATATTGATCATATTTGATGGACATGTGGAATTAGTCACGGGCAACATTTACCTCAAAAGTTTTTTTAATATGTGTGAGATACATATTTGTCATATTGGTCCTCCTTTAAACAGGGCAGATGGAGGTTGCCGGCACATAGCTGCAGCATTGTTTGATCTAGAAGCAAATGTGAGATTCAATGATCTCCAATCATGTACATCAGGACAGTGCATGTGGAAAAAGAGAGGAAAGAGAAATGAGGGAAGTTTGCCCATTCAGGACCTTCAAACGAGTGGTAGTTACGGTGTGACATTGAAAGACCCAATTCATCCAAGAGATTTTAATCCAATTTGTATTCCCTATAATGTGACTGAACTGGAACAAGATTTTAAAGCTGGGTTGCTGGAAACATGTCCTAGCTCTTCAGCTCTGCCTTTTTATCTTCAACTAAAGGACCCAGGCATACAGAGGAAGAAGTCAGAGCTTTCATCAGCAGTGATGTTAATGTCTGTAAAGAAGAAAGTGTTCAAAGTGTACATGTATATTCAATGAATGATTACGCCAAAGTGTTTGTTTCTGTTAATACTGAGAAAGTGATGCCTACAGTTTCTAAAGAACTTGCAGTTGAATTCCTCGAGTCTATTCCATTTAATGAAGAGCAAGCAGAAATGATCAACAAGAAAACTGTCTATCAATCCCAGTCTCAATTTTGGTTTGATCAAAGGGCAGGAAGAATTACAGCTTCCTCATTTTACACTGTGTGCCACCTTAGAGAGAGCACAGACAGAAGAAACACTATTAAACATCTCATGAATTACTGTCCAATTGCTGAAGATGCCATGCCACGACAGTTGACATGGGGGCATGAAAAAGAAAAGCGAGCACTTAGTCTTTACATAAAAAAACAGAACAAAAATCATGAAAAGTTGTCAATAGAAAAAAGTGGACTCATTGTAAACACATTATGGCCCTTCTTAGGAGCCAGTCCTGATGGTATAAGGATTTGTGCTTGCTGCCAAAAGAAGTTAATTGAAGTTAAAAGCATGTATGCAAAAAGAAATCTCCCTCCACATGTTGCAGCTGAGGAGAACCTCATGCTTGTGGATGGCAAGTATGAAATTAAAAAAAGAAACCAAATGGAACTACCAAATCCAGGGACTGATGGGGATAACAGGGATTCATCGCTGTGATCTAGTTATATATACCCTCAAAGGAATATTGATTGTAAACGTTAAGTTTGATAGTGATTTGTGGAGTGAAATGCTCCAAAAGCTGAGAAACTTCTTCGTGGAGTATATAGTTCAGGAACTATTCCACCATGACATACTTAAGTCATTATAGAGTGACTGCCGTTAGATGCTGATTGTAAAAGTGAAGGTGCTTAAAATTAATAGTGTTTTTTGTCTGTGCTGGATTAGATACCCCATAATTTTATTGATCTGTCTCTGGATACGTTTAATACATGTTTCATTTACCATTTACATACACTAAGTAGGTCTGCTTTTCTGCTCTCTGGACAAATGCGTCAGTCATTTGGCCAGTGGTGGTAGCAAATTACACAGAGCAGCACAAACACTTAGAATATTGTCTGCAGTGGGTAGCATTTGAAGAAGGAAGTTCCCTTGTAGAATTCTAAAGTCCTTAAGACGTCCAATAGCACGTTCAACGTGGATCCGAACACTTGCAATGGTACGGGTAGATTTTACTGCCTTTTTTGAAAGTTGCTTTCCTGTGTAAGAGGAGAAAAAAGGATTTTGAATGAAGTAAATGCCAATTCAAAAGGTACTGATAGTAAAGTACTTGCTTTTTTGGAAACCTTTTTTCCAAACAAAACCTGTACTAAATTATTGGATGGGTGGAAGTGGCAAACCACTGCCTCACACCAGCTCTTTCTGAATTTTCTGGATCCAACCCTGCTATGTAGACATGTTTGAAAGTTAGTAGAGACTACCTTTATCTTTGAGCAGTTCAACTTAACCCTATAATATAAAAAATATTCCTAAGAAACTTCTTCTGTTTAGTTAGAAAGATCCTTTTTACAAGCAACAAGTAATGGATGCTATGTAGACATGTTTGGAAGTTAGTAGAGACTACCTTTATCTTTGAGCAGTTCAACTTAACCCTATAATATAAAAAATATTCCTAAGAAACTTCTTCTGTTTAGTTAGAAAGATCCTTTTTTACAAGCAACAAGTAATGGATGCTGTTATATCTGAGGTTTTTTTTTTTTTTTTTTTTTTTTTTTTACTTTGTCCAGGGAGACCTTCTCTTTTATCTTAGCATACCCTCTTCCACCCCTACCCCATTAGCTCCCTTTATTGGAAAGGTACCTTTGCAAAGTGGTGGGATATTAAGTGCAACTTTCTTTCTTGTAAGCAGATCTCTGATGTTGAACCCCTTGTCGGCCATAACAGAATCCCCCTCTTCAAGTTTGTCCAGTAGACCACTTCTTTCTGTGATGTATCTGTCACTGACATTTCCAGTCCATAGTTTAGAAACAAAGGAGAAGTAACCTGTTGGAGTGATTCCCACCAGTGCTTTCATGGTATTGTGCTGTTTATAGTTACTCCATGTAGCTCTCTGGGCACTAGGGGATGTTGGCTTTTGCAAAAATATCTCTGTGCAATCTATTATTATTCGAGTGCTTGGAAATTTATTAAAAGAACTTGGCAACTTTTTCTTAATTTCTTCCTTACAAGGCCATTTAAGAAGAATGTCACGAAAAACTGTAGATAAAAAGCAAATCCACGTTGTGAAAACTTTGCTAACTGATCCTTCTGATACTCCAAAGATATCTGTAAGATGTCTGCTTAAAAGCCCAAGTCTGAGTCTCACCAAAGTTAAGATAAATTCCTCCATAATGGTCAATAATCTTTGCTTTCCAGGCTTTTTTTTACTTGAATCTTTGTGATAGCTTACTTTTTTTTCTTTGTTTTTGTCCCAATACTTAAGTTTTTCTGCAAACGGCTTGAGCAAATTAAATATCATCATAAAGCAAGCAAGGCTAGGTATACCCGTAAAAATTTGACAGACTCGTCATCTTTCAAAACATCATCCACAAAGAGCTCTCTTTTCAATTGTTTTTTGTTTGATAACTTTGATTTAAGTTCGGCGTTCTCTTGTTTTAAAGCGTCAATTTTACTGGTTAAAACCTCTAGATCTTCGTAAGGAAAGTCCGTTTGAGTTCCTTTGTCGTTAGGAAGAAGGTGGCAATAATTGTGATCTAAAAGGGCTGCATCGTCGCTTAAGAAACAAATGTCTTTGTCTTCCTCGGTAAGGCTTCTCTTTTGAGGTTCAGGACATTTTTCATCAACAGCACGTCTCTTTCTGTCCTCCAGTCTCTTTTCACGGGAAGAAACACGACATTGGTGGGTCGAGGGATTAAAATATTTCGGTAATTCACCTGGAATAACTTCTTTTCTTCCGCAAAGCGACCTTTTGATGGATGAAGCCTCGAAGTGTGCGCTGCAAATCCGAGGGTTTTTTTGATTTTGGAATTCGGGATCACAACGTCTACAGAAGTTTTTCCATAGCCTTCTAAAATTCCCTGAAGGAAAACAGAAAAAGGATAGATCCGGACGATTCCTTGAACTGTTCGAGCAGTTTGCTACCGAACAAAAATTCACCGTGACTTTTGCAAAACTTGGAGCATTTCAACTTACAGTGAAGACAGTGAATGCATTTCTATTTTTTTATTTTCCCAGCTGTCCTCTAAGCCTCGTTTACATGCAAGTACCTAGTTCTCAGGAGCGCGCGTCCAATAATTTCGAAAGGACCCTATTGTGCGCGCGGAGTCGCCCGCTGATGATTTATTTGCCGCTGACCAAAAAATCTGTACGTGAGCACCGCTGTTAGAAATTAGAAATCAGGCTACGCTCCGCCATTGGATAACTGGCATCACTCGAAATTTGGCGGTCTTTCCAGGCGGTACGATTCAGCGGCGGTTAGGACGATTCATGAGATTCATGTTTATGCAAAAGGTAAGGTTTCTTTGAATATGCTGAATATATTGTCTACTATTATGCATGCATGTTATTTTTAATTCCCTTGCCTTACTTATCTGCATGTCACTAAATGCCATTAAAATCGCTTCTCGGTTTTTTGGCGCACAGCCGTTAGCTTTTCAAAACGATTCGTCTTTTCTTAGTCTTATTGTTAGTCAAGGGTTGGCTTAGTTTCAGTGTGTATTGGTAGTTTTCGGATGAAACCATTTCGAAAAGCGCGAACGAGATAGTGGAGATAAAAAGGATGAGTAATGAATTCAGATTCTTTAATTGTAAAATGTGCCTAGTCGTACAGGACAATTAACCTCATGTTTTTCTCAACCGTGTAAATTGATGTCACAAGGGGAAACAAACTTAAACATTTCCTGTGTAAGCTCATTTTTTTTTCTCCGCTGGTCGAGAAAGCTCGGGGAACGCGAACACGATGCTATCATAATATAATTCAATAACATTAACCGAAAATTGTTTTTTAATACTACTGTAGATCGAGTCTTCTGAGGAGTGTGTTGTGAAAGAATTATTTCGGTGCATATTAGTTGGTGTCGTTTCTTTATTTTGCTTTTAATTATTTACAGTAGCTTTCATACTGAACCCTGAGCTGTAATATTTTCTGATAATGCTTGACTACGTCAACAAGACATTTTGAAAAAACTAACAAAACAGCCAGCATGTGCTACAACGAGTTTTAACAGCAATTCAAAAATCCGACTCATTGTGTTTTTGAAAAGTTGCATTTTCTCGATTCCAGAATATCATCCTTTCTTTTATTGTGTTGTACTTCTGCGCTGTCTTGGAAAGATTTTATCTCAATTCAAATTCTGTGTAGTTGTACATGTAAATATATTTACTTCATTTATCCTAATGCTCAGTCAATACCCATTCTCCCTGGGAATTTTTCTGACATTTTGTTCCTACAGTGGGCATTTTTCATTGACAAAAGCTTCATTTGGGTAGGAAACTTTTCATTGTTTAATTAACCTTACCCCCTTAAGGGGTACCATCTAAACTTGTACTTATGTATGCGCTCTGTATATGCCATACTGTTTGCCAAGTCTACCATGGAAAGTTTATCTTATAAAGTAATTTTGGGTTGTAAAGTTGTCCTCTTCGCAGTGTCTTTGGGGTCTGTATGGATATCAGGAAAACTGTAAGGTTGCTGAGTTAAGTTGTTAAGTATGTTTACTGTGAAACTCGCAAAACCATGAACACCAGAAATATTTATGGAATATTATTTTGTTACGAGAATCAGGCAATAAGGCACGAGATAACTTACACACAAACAGCAATGGTAATTAGTTTGTGGTTTAGAGTTTTGCTTGCATATTCCTGAACTTAATTGTGTTTGGCCAGTACACAATCAACATTCCTGAAAATTTTCAGGTGTTCACTGTTTTTGGAGTTTGACAGTAACAATTTTCAGCTTTTTACAAGGTGACGTACATGTAACTTTTGCTTTGATACTGGGGCATTTGTTCCAACTTTTATTTCCATGGTGAGGTTTTGTATGTATCTACTGGCCCCACAGTGGGGGCAGGCATTTGCAGCTTTCGAATTAAAAAATGACAAATGCCTGTGGAGGGGGGTGGGCATGTTTAGAATTGACTGAGTCATAAAGAAGCTTATCCTCTGTAATCCTTTTACCTATACAGCCCTATTTGTATTAAGAAGTTTCATTAACCCACCCCATGTACCCTTGACATTAAAACAATATACTTCTAGAGCAGTAGTACGTTACATGGAGAATTCATGTTTTTGTATTTGCTATCTTACTTAACCCACACTAAGATTTGTTACAAGTGTCTTTTTGGAATAGATACTGCAGAATTAAACAATGGCTGCAACAGGTCAAGTTTGAAACAATATGTCTAGGCTGATTAATATTAACTGAAAAACACAATATTCCATTGGTTTTCTCATCCTTATAGCTCTCATTGGTATAAAAAAAGGAAACACTATGGAATAAGTTCTACATTCAAGAGATTAAAACTCAGCTTTTGAGGCCTAGTAGTGCAGCATACAAATTTCTCTCTGCAGTAATTTCAATACATATTCTAAGAAACAGATAATAATAAATAAGAATTTAGTAGGAAATTACAAGTATGCAATTGTTATACCATGTTAACCTGGATATCCTGATATTTCATACAATCATCATATTGAAGTTGGATGTGACCCTGGACAAACAC